GTGCAGAAGGAAACGTCAAGGTGAGCCGTACCGGTCCTTCCGCATCTTCTCGTGGGCCGATGGTGGGGCGGCTCCGGGCTGCGGCTGGTGGTGGTGCTCTTCTGGCTGCATGTGCTGCGAGGCTGAAGTGTGCACTGTGAGAAGCCCACAACAAGTCACGACGTGCAAGAGGTGGCGTGATGACGATCACACAACACAAGAGAGCGCGTCGGGTGTAGTAGAGTCCGAGCAACCATGACGTACGTAGCAACCAGGAAATGCAAACTACAGAAATTGAGTGGAGCTATGCCTGACACGTTACCTCTTCTCCTCCTTGCACAGCTGCGTGGAGGTGGTGATGCAGCTACCACCAGAAGAAGAAAAAGCGTCTTGGCACCGGGTGTACAACATAAAGCGAAATAAAAAGTAATCATGGTCCTTGTCGGCGACACCCACCCAGCTTTCCTTCAGGGCTTTTGTTGTGGCGAACAAAAAGGCAGCGGCGGGCGACCATTTGGGCACAGGCAAGCTGCGGGCAAGAGCCACAAGAGCCAGACAAACGGACATTGTGCGATGCGTAGAAGCAGTGGCAGGTTGTTGAGTGGTGCGCAGACGCGGCTGGGTGGTGCGGCCAATAGGGTGGATGGTCGGGTTACATCACGTGGAAAGGTCTCGGAGAACGTCAACACGACGAACAACCAAAAATGCGTCGATCACATTCAGATTAAAATACGAAAACTCGTCAACTTCTCCGCGACTCCTGTGGGCGAAACAACAAAAACAAAAACAAAACAAAACAAAACAAAACAAAACAAAATAGAAACTAGAAAAAGATGGAGTCGGGCAGGGTGAAGATGCAAAGGAGGCCTGATTTTCAGGGCATGGACGTGAGCCTGTCGCAAGATCTCACTGAAGATGAAGCGAAGACGGTGATTTCATCCATAAACCAGTTCTGCGAGCAAGTCCTGCGGTACTGCTCCTGTTCTCCTTTCTGGTTGCACAATTATTTATTTGTATTTATTTGTCTGAAGAACGAAGAAGAACGAAATAATAATAAAATCACTTATTCGTATTGTCATCTTAAATAGATATAAATAATCATTAACACCGTTTTTTTACTCCATCCAAGGTACGGGAAGGACTGGCACGTAATCGAGCGCGGGGCAGCCACCGACCCGTCGTGCGTGCTCGCCCTGGTCTTCGCCGCCGACTACGAAGTCGCCAAGTACTCACCCCCCCCTCGGCGCGTGCGTCTTGTGCGTGTGCGGCGTGTGCGGCTCACCCCCCCCCCAAAGGGAGCGCATGGACAAGGCCAGGGCGCACCTCGAGCGCGCGCGGAAGGTGGCCGACGCGAGCGAGGTCACCGAGCGGGAGAAGCTC